GGAGGAGGTTGACTGCGAGTCAGATACTTCTTTCCCAGGATGGGAAGAAGAGGAGGGCGAGGTGTGCCAGCAGCGAAACGTGAGCCGTGTTCGAGCCTTGCAAACACCGTGTCCGTTTCCCGACCTCTCGACTTCCGAGGAAAGTGGTTTTATTACCAATCGTCTCAGCAAGACACAAGAGCAGCAGCTGGACGCTGCCCGCAAGGCGTCTATGCGCGTACATTCACCGTCTATCTTAGACCCTCGTGCGGAATACGGATTCCGATCGGGAATTTCTGCTACTGAAGCGAAGGACGCGATCACTCGATCATTGGGCGTCGACGTAGTCAGGCTACCGGCCACTAGCCATACTGATCTTGACCAACAAAAATTACTCCAAGCTCGCTGCTTGGTACCTCAAGAAATGCCAATGAATACGAACCGCGTTCATCATCCGTGCTCAAAAAGTAGGCACTCCTGTACCCGCAATGCGGACCACTCCTGTGGTGCTCGCCCCTGGCAGAACCGAGGCAGATGATGAAGAACTCTTTGAGCGATGGGTGCAGCGGCACTGGAACCTTTTCTCGCAATCTAGCCTACAATGTAGCCTCTATGTTTGCATGAAACGTCACCTTCGGTTCGAGTTTGCCAAATTCATGGTGCAACGCCGACTTCTTCGTATTGTCGCCCTGCGACGTATGGATTTACCCATCACGCTCCCGCGTGCTCTGTCGTATCTTACACACGTGAGTCTGCGACCACAGCACCTCAGGACCATAGCGTGAGCTCAGCCCGTGTCCGTTCGATTTCCCTGGCTATTACCGAGAAGCGCGGGGAGTACGATGACCCCCTTGATCATTAGCGTCCACGACGTCTGGTCAGTCTTGCTAAAGTGCCACCTCAAACTCCAACGAGTTCTTGGAGTGTGGGTATCTCCGCCAAGTCCGTCGTCATCGGGACTACGCTGAGCATCGTTCTGAGGCCGCATACCACTGCACGGATAACTCGGAGAGGTAGGAGCACTAAGGGCACCGGTTGGCTCACGTTGAGAACTATAGCGCTTTATCGGAGTGGCTCCTAGCCTTCGAGCAGACGTATGGGCCACTCGTGCGACGTTGGAGCGTCTGGCGCTGTTGGAGATTCAAATCGTTACACTCCGTAGTTGCTGGTTCAGATTCTGGGCGTTTGAGGGCCTGTGGGCGTCACCCCGTTGCCAACGCTTCCGCGTTCACTTGCACCGGATCCCGGTTCGACTTAAGCAGGCCCACATAAATACCGGGTGAGTGCGAATCCTTCTCGGAAAGTTTAGCGTATTCACAAGGCCTCGCTTGGCCGCGACCTTAAAGGTCCGATCAATCGTGGGGGGATATTTGTCTGAAAGAATGCAGAAACTGCATGCGTAGGAAGGTCTTTTGCATTGACAAACCAGGTCTATGACCTCAAAGTTTTTATCATCGTTTTTGTTTCGGTGTCTCTTGGTTTCCAGCCATCGCATCGCGAACGTGTCGCAAGACACTCAGTATGATGGGCAGGGATACATCAACTTCATTACGGACGATGAGGGGGCTGACATCATCTAGCCGCTCGGCTATTCGTCTCCACCAATCCTTGAGCCATGGGACGGCGGCATCAGCGAGACGCGAGGATTATTAACCTCGTTCATGTA